TCAGAGGAGGTGAGGCTTGGAGGGGGTTGGCGGGGAGGCAGTGAGACCTTGGGGAGGAGGGCTGGGGTGGGGCGGGGGGCAGAGCTGGGTGAGACAGGCTCCTCTGGGTCGGCCCCCGGCTGGGCTGGGCGAGTGGAGGGGGGCCTGACTCAAACTCGCTTCCCCCACAGGAGCTGACGGGCGTCCTGCCCGCCGAGTACCCCCTCAAACCTGGGGAGACGGCCCCCAAGGTCCGCCGCAGGGTCGGGGCGGCGTATAAGCTGGACGAGCAGGCCCTGCAGGGAGAGGTGAGGAGGCTGGGAGCCGTCGCTGGGACCCCCGAGCTGGGTCCCCGAGCCTGGGCCGCACTCCCGCCTGGAGGAGGAGGCGGCTGGCACCGGGCCGTCTCCACCCATCACGCCCATAGGGTGCCGGGCCCTGGGTGGACGAGGCACCCACGAAGGTGTGGCCCAGGTGGCGTGGGGACGGTGCCAGCTGGGCAGCAGGGAGCTCCAGGGAGCGCCTGGGCTTGGTCTCTGTGGGCAGGAGATCAGTTAAGAGAGAACCACTGGCCCAGGGAGGGGCCGGGCCGGGCCGCCTGTTCAGACAGGTCACCTGGCCCTCGGAAGGCGGGGGCATGGCCCAGGTCCTCCCGGGAGCCCTTCCCTGGGGTGTGAATGGTGGCATTCTGCGGCTCCACACCCCTCTCACCTGCCCAGCCCTTTGGGGTCAGGAGGGAAAGTGTCCCATTTTGCTTTGCACCCCGTCTGGCTCGACCTGCTGGCTGACAGCTTACCTCCTGGGCACCTCCCGGCCCTCCACCCTCTGCCCCATGTGGCAAGGAAGGGCCAGGATCCAGGGTCCTGACGTCCACTGTGCGTAAGCAGCAGAGGGCCCTGGAGGAGCACCTGGAGGCCTGCCTGGAGGAGGAGGCTGTTCTCTGTGACTCCAGGGACCTTGGGCCTCCTGTGTCCCAGCTCACCCCCACCACCACCACCCCTGCAGGACCCCCTGAGCAGCCTGGAGCAGGAGCTGGCCCTGCAGCTGCAAATCTCAGAGGCCTGCCTGGAGGAGGAGGCTATTCTCTGTGACTCCAGGGCCCCTCCTCCTAGGCCTCCTGCGTCCCAACTCACCCCCTGCCCCCTT